AGATAGATAGGGAAGTGAGGCCACAAACAGTGGGGATAAGGTCAGGAGGACTGAGCCCCAGAATGAGCTGAAGCTGAGAAGGAAAGCAAAGGACAAAGGAAAGGGGGGAAGACAGAGACCAAAACAGGGAGAGGATCCCGGCTCAGGCTGGAAGGGAGGATGAGCTCTGACATGAGAGAGGAGGCAAATCAGGTCCTTTCTTTCTCTCTTTTTTCCTTCTCAGTCAAAGATCAAAGCTGGCCAAAATCCACACTTACTTCCAAGATCTGTGATGACCTCCCTGGGGAGTTCCTTCTCCATCAACATAAATCTCAGTCCTTTGCTTTTTCAGGATGGAAAGAAAAAGGATGCCCGGCTCAGGGGGGATGATCTCAAGGGGAGCTGAGCCCCAGAAAGATCTGAGGCTGGGAGGATGTCCCCAAGTCCTCTGAGGCTCAGCATGTGTCCCAGGTCTGGGGTCTGGGTGGTCTGCCCGACTCTGATGGTGGGGTTCTGCGGGCCCCGAGAGAACTCCCATTCCTTATCTGGCCTGAAGCATCATACCCAGAAACACAAGGATAAAATGGTATAAGAGGAAACCCTGAATCCTGACAAAGTGCTCACCTGCCAATCTCCTTTTTTATTAAATATTAAATAAACATTAAAAAATAAATAAAAAATTTAATTTTCTTAAACTTTATCCCTACCTTTGGCTCCCTATGGTCCTCAAGGTTTGGAGAATCTGCTTAGAATTCCAGATGAAAACAGGCCCTTTGGACTCCATCATTGAAGGCCAGAGCTGGAAGGGAGCTGAGAGATCCCCTGGTCCAATCCACCTCATTTCACCAATGGGGAAGTGAGGCCCACAGTGAGGATGTGCCTGGCTTTCTTCCTCTGCAGCCTCTTAGGAGGCCTGACGAGCAGGAGCCCTGGGGATTTGGGGGCAGAAGCTGGGCCCACTTTCTGTTATGATTGTTCCTTTGGATGGTCTTGAGGAAGCTCTGGATTGGGGGCAGGGCAACGCAACAAGCATTTCTTAATCCCTTCCTGTGTATCATGCCTGTGCTAAGTGCTGGGGATTCCAATTTAAACCAATGGAAAGGGAGTCCCTGCGCTCTTGGAGCTTACATTCTAATAGGAGAAGATAACCCCTGAAAGGGGCTCACAGTGATGGGGAAGAGAAGTCACCATCCCAGGGTGTCTCTGAAGCCTCCAGAGTCACAGGCACAGCTGGAGGGGAATGAAGCCTGGATGTCCCCAAGCAGGGCCTGGGGGAACTCACCAAGGGGAGGAGGGGACAGCATGGTGGAGGGATGGCCCACGGGGAGAAGGCCCCAGTGCACAGGGAAGGTCCAGGAGGAGAAAGCAGTTCAGTGACATTGACAAGGTCCTGGAGCATCAGACACAGAGCCTGGGGAGGAATGAGCCTGACTCCCAGAATCCCAGAGTCTCAGAGGAGGAAATGACCTCAGGGCCATGATGACCCTCCCCAGACAGAAGAGGGCCCTGCCCCCTCTGCCCCAGGAGCCCACAGGCTCAGTCAGTCCTCCCCTGAGGCCCCTCCTTCAGGGATCCAGAGCAGGAGCAGATTTGCATGTGGGGCCTCCTCCCTGCAGGGCCTGGGCTGGTTTTAAGAGAGCCCTGGGGGAGCCCAGCACCAGCTGGGGAGCCTCAGGACACTGAGCTGTGGGAGGAACTTTGACCATGGCCTGGATTTCTCTGCTCTTCTCACTCCTGACTGTCTACACAGGTGAGACTTCCCAGGGACTCCTCCCTGTGACTGAGGCCCCACAATGTCTCAGGCCAGGCCTGCCCTGAGCTCATCCTGAAGCTGCTTGAGGGGCCAGCATCCCCTTGTGGAGAGAGGCACCTGCCTCTGACCAATGTCCTCTTTCCTGTCCTTGCAGGTTCTGGGGCCTCCTATGTGCTGACTCAGCCACCTTCAGTGTCC